AATTTAATTTTAGGATTCAAAAAAAAAAAAAAAAAAAAAAAAGCTGACCTATTTTGTTGTTAGAAAAACCACGGAAAGCTGAGTATAGTCTGTGTATATTTGAAAAATAGAGAGCTGACGTAATTTAATATTTATTTATTTTATTGACATTCCTACGATGACATACCATTTTATTTATTTATTTATTTTAATCATATCCTCTTGTAATTTTAAATATATATATATATATATATATATATATATAGATTACTTCTAGCTCTACATTTTATTATTTTTGCAAATCAATAAATGTATATTCTCTCACGTCAGCCATAAATAATATGAACACTTAAAAAAATAAAATTGGTTTGGTTTAAATGGAACAAATTAAAAAGATTATAAATTTTTTATACCTCAAATTTAGATAAATATTATGATGGTAATAGTAAATTTTTGTTGAAAATCCTTAATCAACATGAAATTAACTTCTAATTTATAAAATAAATGTTGCAGTTGTGTCACTCTATATACACCCATTAATGTTGTCTTATTAATATTAAAATGTTAATTCTAATTATTAAAATGTTAGTAAGAAATTGACTGTAAATCCAAAAATCAAAAAGTGAAGACCAACCAACCAACCACCGCACTCACTTTGTTAAAGAATCCCGTTGGTGGAGGGAACTGCCAAAAAAGGAATACATATTCCAATTGAAAAGCTTGAATCTCTGTCCACGTGTCAAGGCCTAATAGGAGAAGAGGAAAAGATCAGGTGGCCGAAAAACACGGGCACCTTGTGGAAAATGGAAATCGGTTTGCTATATTTTACGTTGGATTTTTTTGTCTGGTTTCTCTCCTCAAAAAGAAATAAATCAATAATTATCTTAAAGTTAGTTACTTTTTGGCATTTCATTTAAAATGGTCGACTACAAGCGACAAGGAAAATAAAATTGGTCCAATGAGAGAATTGTGGAAGAAGTTTGGGGGATTGCATTTTTTTTTTAATAGAATTTTAGCATCAACAATTACTTTATGCCCAAAATCAAATGGGTTTAGTGTAATTTCAGCTCTTTTTAATAAATTTTTAATGGCTAAGATTAGATGAGATATTCAAATAAATACATATATATATTTTCCCTATTTTCTTTTCAAATTTGTCCCTATTTTCTTTTACCATTATTAATTGATACTCGGATCATTTGAATTTCTTCATTTAATAGAACCGAATTTGGCAAGAATGGGGGGAGCCCATACCTGAAAAGCAACCATTTCCAAGAACATTGAATCGATCTGAAATTCAGAACCCGGAAGTTGATTAAAGTGAGAAGACAGAGTTTATATCCTCCAAATGATTATATAGAACATGAATGTGATTACCAGGCAGAACATCGGACAAGCAATCCTCCAGAAAATGGTATTGATTTGGAAAAAATGGACTGTAAAAATGAAGTGTTAACGTAAACAGTTGGCAATTTCCACACGCCCGAGCAACTACAAGAACATTTCTCTTCACCACAAGCACCTATGAAATAGTTTTAGTATTCATAGAAAATGAGAATGATGCGATCAATGTACAATGATCGTCGATGTTTTTTCACCATTTTAATATAATGCAAAAGCAAAAAAGTGCGCATTTTAGCTAACGGAATATAACTAAACTATTAAGAATAATGACTTGTCCAATTTGAGCATAAGCTCTTGTGGCTTTGCTTTGGGGTTCTCCAAAAGGCCTCATACCGATTGAGAGATGAATTATTTACTTATTAACCCATGATCATTCCCTAAATTAGCCATGGTGGAAAACTCCCTCCCAACAATTTTCAACAATCCTCCCTTCGAACAAAGTACACTATAGAGCCTCTCCCGAGGCCTATGGAGCCCTCGAACAACCTCATTTTAATTGAGGCTCAACTCCTTCTTTGGAGTCCTCGAACAAAATACACATTTTGTTCGACACTTGAGTTACTCTTGACTACACCTTCTAGGCTCACAACTTCTTTGTTTGACATTTGAGGATTCTATTTGCATGGCTAAGTTAAGGGCATGACTCTAATACCATCTTAGGAATAACGGCTCTCTATAATGGTATGATATTGTCCACTTTGAGCATAAGCTCTCATGGCTATGGTTTGAGCTTCCCCAAAATGCCTCATACCAATGGAGATGTATTTCTTACTTATAAACCCGTGATCATTTCCTAAGTTAGCCAATGTGGAACTCCCTCCCAACAATCTTCAACATAAGCTAGTTAAGATACATATTATCGATTAAAGTTGAAAGTTTAAATCTCTCCAAGATATTGAACTCAATAAAAATGGTGTATTTAAGCCCAAAAGAACACTTGAAATTTGAAAGTTAGGCAAAAGGGAGCTGGTTTATATTATGCTACAAGATTGCTAATCCTACTTCTAACATAACCATGTGTTTGACAAATTGAGACTGACATTTAAACTTTTGTAAAACCAAACATGTGCTAGGGCAATTTAAGTTTTTCACTTTGACTACACAGGTTCAACGTTTACACTCATGAACCAAATGCTACCTATATAAAGCGAATGAAATCATATCAATAAGGACGTAAAATGATCTTATTCTATTAAACAGAGAGAAAAGCAGTTGTAAAGTGGAAAACAGGTACCTCCTCGTTGTCATTGATGAGGAATGCTACAACGCCAATATGATGCGAGGGGCCAGAAGGAAGCATGCAGGACAAAGTAGGAATTCAGTAAGCGAGCATGACATATCCTGCTTCAGCATGATGAGAGTTGAACCCCTCCTGAAAGTTACAACTCTAAAATATCTAATAATGGCTATGGAAGTTCAAATTCGAGAATCTGATGCCACAGCTTTTGCAGTGATTGAAAGTGTGAACTAAAAATATCAGTTATTATCTCACATCAATAGCCACAGAAACAAGTTCAGCTTGCTCTGTTTGTAATTTGGAAGGAAAAAAAAGGTTCTAGGCACAGAGATCTCAAGAAAACTGTGGTATAAAGAAGAAAGGGAAACTTTACTTTTTCCCAGACCTTGAGCTTTCATTGGAAGAGAGATGCCTGGAGAGCTGATGCAAAGACGTTTGCAGAAGAAGGTAGGCTCTCTGAATTAATGATGACCCCTTCGTATTCATCATTCCAGTGATCTAGAAGTTCCACGTCCACGATTGGTGTATAAATGTCAGGAGACAAAACAGCAAGTGCTGTTCTTTTGGGTCCAATGTTACCATTGATGAGAATAAGTTTTTTAGTACTTGAAGTTTCTGGTAGACCATCCTTGTTCAAGATATCTGGATAATGGGAAAGTCACATTAAAGAAGAAAAATTAATTCATTTCGATTCTTTAAGAGAGGAGTGATTATATGGAAGTTGAAACCCAACCCCACCACAAAAAGTCAACGAGTTACAGAGCTCTATAATTTCAAGCGAGCTTTGTTAAGAATCACGGATCTCCACAATGGTATGATATTCTCCACTTTGAGCATAAGCTCTCGTGACTTTGCTTTGGGCTTCCCAAAAAGGTCTCGTACTAATGGAGATGTATTACTTACTTATAAACCCGTGATCATTTTCTAAATTAGCCAACGTGGGACTCCCTCCCAACAATCCTCGAACAATCTTACATGTTGAAAGAGGGGAAAAAATTCTACCTTTTGGGTAGCCCTGGAAACTTGACCATCTTGTCAAAGGAAGGCGCATTTTTCTTCCTTCTGAAGAAACAAAACTGCAGTCAGCTTCTTTCCATATAGATATGTTCAAACATGCTGGAATATTCAAATGAGTCGACGATGCACAAGTAAACAAAGAAAAAGAATATGAATAAAAGCAAGAGTAGCATCGGCAGAGCAACCACTACGTTGAAAAAATGATTCAGACATTTTATCAAACACCTTATGGGCAAAAGGAATCATCCATAAACACGAGTTCATCTCCTCACTAAGACCACTTATCAACGCCATCCATAAGATAAAGAATGAGAATATAGTGCATATTATTAAGCATGTCGTGGTTTTACCTGGCATTTCTTCAGAAGAATATCGAACAATTCCGCTCGGTTTATGCTGCAATTTTCGGTGGCATGTGGGATAATGTTCTTATGCTCTTCCATATCCCCTCTTCAAGACACTTCAACTCAATGTCGTCTGGAATATGAAAGCCAAATTAAAGAGAAACTCGTGATTTCCTTTTCTCCCTTCCTTTTTGGTTGACCCCAAAAGCAAAAGATATATGAATATTAGAGAGTGGAATTTAAGAGAATTTCTTCCATTTTAAAATTTTCTTTTACTAAAAAATTAATAATAATAATAATAATAAATCCCATATCAATTGAAATATCACCGTAAGCATCCATATAAATATTTTAATTTTTATAAAAGAAATATTTGAAGTCAAACTATATATATTTGCCTTGAAATTAAATAACACTTCAATTATATATATATATAGAAGCTATAATAAGGTGCATAAATTAAATAATGTCTTTTTATATATTAATTGGAATATTTAATGTCACATGCGTATAAAATCATTATAAAGATTTTAAATTAATAATGTAAAATGACATATATGTCTGATAATTTGTTTTTTTTTAAAATACAATTAAAGCCACAAAAGTAGAACAACTAATAGGATTGCATTAATTGCTATGAATCTTGGTTATCCAAATTAAAAATGCATTTATTTATTTATTTATAAATTAAATTACATTTATGGTAGAGACTTTTAAAAGGATAATTAATATATTATTTAATAAATTAGAGTTAAATTGAAATATGTGGTTTTTTTAATTAATTTTTTATCCAACAACAAAAGACAACCATTTAAACGGTAGACACTAATTGCCCATGTTCGAATTAAGGTTTTATGATTTGTTAATTACTTTGTTTAAATAAGTATTAAACAAATAAATTAAAACTAAAAAGCTACGAAAATTAGGAATGAGAGTATATATATATATATATAATATAATGTTGTTGAAGTAGGATAGAAGCTATTTGTCCTAGGTTGGGGACAATAAATTTTTTGGTCCATTTTATGTAGACAACAATAATATGTAACCATATTTCATTAATAATTTTATTTTTATGAAAAAAAAAATCAATTGAGCGGGATTCAGGTACGACATTTTCGTCCCACCTAAGTTGTCAAATCTCATCTCTGACTTTGATACTCACAAAATTAAAATAATTGCTAAAAATTATTGGAGAAAAATATACCCTTTGAAAAGCTTATTCATAAAATAGATTTTTTCCATTTATAAACAACGACCTTTCATAATAATATGATACTTATATGGATCATCGTAATGGTAGAAACATCATCGTCACTCTCTCTATAAGCTATTGGATGTCCTTCCTACTAGGGTTGAGAGAGTTCTTTTTCTGGGATCGAGTGAACGATCTCATAGCCTTCCACTGGTAGCCTACAAAGTGCTTATTTATATCAAACGATACCCTACGGGGAAGATGAGACAAGTGCTGCTTGATTGATCGTCATATGATGGGTAGCCCTAGTGTAAATGTCAAGAGACGATTGAAAAGCTCGAAAGACAAATGCATTTTTTTTGCTTATAAACTTATGATTTTTCCCTTGATTAGCGAACGTGAGACTCCTCGGAAACATATATAACGAAGGAAAGAAAACCCATTTACAAAAAGACTTGGATTTAATTAGGGTTTTAAAAGAGGAAAATTGGGAAAGGGAGAGAGTTGGTGGGGGAAAGTGGAGGGTTCTGAATCCCATCATTTGGTCTGTGTATTTGTGAATGAGAATGTGAGAACAAAACGTGAAGCCAAGCAATCATCTTATTGTTTTTTTTAGGCTTTTAATGAAACCATGTAATATTGAAGTGTTTGATGTGTGTGTGCTTCTGGTCCAAGTTTCCATAGCCCCTTTTTAGGGTTCTTAATCAGCTCTAATTACAGGCCTTTTCTAGTGGTCCTTCTTCCACTTCTCTCTCTACTCTTGTTTTTCCCTTTCTTATGAAGCAACTTCTTCTTCTTCCTCTTCTTCTTCTTCCTCTTCTTCTTCTTCCTCTTCTTCTTCTTCCTCTCTCTCTCTCTCTCTCTCTCTCTCTCTCTCTCTCTCTCTCTCTCTCTCTCTCTCTCTCTCTCTCTCTCTCTCTCTCTCTCTCTCTCTCTCTCTCTCTCTCTCTCTCTCTCTCTCTCTCTCTCTCTCTCTCTCTCTCTCTCTCTCTCTCTCTCTCTCTCTCTCTCTCTCTCTCTCTCTCTCTCTCTCTCTCTCTCTCTCTCTCTCTCTCTCTCTCTCTCTCTCTCTCTCTCTCTCTCTCTCTCTCTCTCTCTCTCTCTCTCTCTCTCTCTCTCTCTCTCTCTCTCTCTCTCTCTCTCTCTCTCTCTCTCTCTCTCTCTCTCTCTCTCTCTCTCTCTCTCTCTCTCTCTCTCTCTCTCTCTCTCTCTCTCTCTCTCTCTCTCTCTCTCTCTCTCTCTCTCTCTCTCTCTCTCTCTCTCTCTCTCTCTCTCTCTCTCTCTCTCTCTCTCTCTCTCTCTCTCTCTCTCTCTCTCTCTCTCTCTCTCTCTCTCTCTCTCTCTCTCTCTCTCTCTCTCTCTCTCTCTCTCTCTCTCTCTCTCATCATTCATGCCCAAAAGGCATCATGGCCACTCATCAACTGATCACCTTCTCTCACTTTGATGTCCCACGTTGGTTCGGGAGGAGAACAAAACACCCTTTATAAGGGTGTGGAAACTCGAAAGGAAAAGCCCAAACAGGACAATATCTATTAGCGGTGAATCTGAGGTGTTATATCAAAAAAAAAAATATTCAAAACACCATCAAAGTTATTATTTTTATATCCAAATTCATATAATTAAAAGGACAATATCTGCTAGCGGTGGATTTGGGCTGTTACGATAAAAGACGATTCAAAGCACAATCAAAGTTGTCATTTTTATATCCAAATTCATATAATTAAAAGGACAATATCTGCTAGCGATGAATCTGGGTTGTTACAGTAGAAGACTGTTCAAAACACAATTAAAGTTGTCATTTTTATATCCAAATTCATATGATTAAAAGGACAATATCTGCAAGTTCTCATCTTTATTTTCCCATTTTGATTATTTTCTTCATACATATACCTTAGTTTCAACTTTAAACCAACGTCTTGATTCCATTAACTTTTTATTAAAGCTATGTATTTAATTTCAAATTAGCATGTTCCACCGCAGTCTTTGGCTATCCAAAAGCTACCCAAGTTTTATACTTTCGTTTTGTATCATCAAGGTTGTGGGTTGTTTGGAGAAGAGTCTCACGTCGGCTAATTAAAGGGTTGATCATAAATTTACAAGTAAGAAATACATCTCCATTTATACGAGACATTTTGGGGAAACCAAAAGCAAAATCATGAGTGAACAATATCATACCATTATGGAGAGTCATGAGCCATGCCCTTAATTTAGTTATGTCAATAGAATCTTCAAAATGTTGAACAATGGAGTTGAGACCCTCGAAAATGTAGTCAAAAGTGTGGAACAAATAGTGTACTCTGTTCGAGGGCTCTAAAGAAGAAACCGAATCTCGATTAAAGGGAGGCTTGGCTCTATAGTGTCCTGAGCATTGTTGGAAGAGGGGGAGTCTCACGTCAGTTAATTAAGGTCTTTTGGGAGAACCAAAAGTAAAGTTACCTGAGCTTATACTTGAAGTAGATGATATCATACCATTATGGAGGGCGAGTTTGAAGAGAGAGAAAGAAGGAGGAGAGAGAAAGGGGTAAGAACATGTGGTTTGTTTAATTGAGCAAAGAGGCTAAAAGGTCGGTGGGTTTGTAAGTTGAATTAAGAGCAACCTTCCCTTTTCTTTTTTCTTTTTTTTTCTCAGTTTCTTCTCTCTTCTCTCTACGTTTAAGTTGAGTTAAAGTTAAAGCTACTCTACAATAGCCGCCAGTGAGAAACTAAAACAATTCTAGCCCACTTTTGTTTTGTTCTTCTTCTTCTTCATCCTTCTCCTTTTGAAAAAACGGTGGCGTTTCAACTGATTGCGGCGGCTACACCTCCATATATTCATAAACCTCTCTGCCTCTTGGACATGAACCACCACATCTCCGTTCAAGAAACCATAAAGATATGAGAAATAGTCAAATCGGTTCAATCGTCGGCGGTGGCTCCGATTCTTTACTAGATGCAAAGCTTGAACAGCATCAGATGTGTGGATCCAAACACTGCCCTGGTTGCGGCCATAAGCTTGAAGGAAGGCCGGTACTGTTTTTTTNTTTTTTTTTTTTTTTTTTTTTTTTTTTTTTTTTTTTTTTTTTTTTTTTTTTTTTGAATTTGATTCATATATGATAATTAAGAGAGACCCAGTAATTAGTTTTGATTGGAAGAGGGTTTATCAGGATTGGGTCGGCTTACCGGCCGGAGTGAAGTTTGATCCAACCGATCAAGAATTGATCGAACATCTCGAAGCAAAAGTTAAAGCAAAAGACATGAAATCTCATCCTTTGATTGATGAGTTTATTCCCACAATTGAAGGAGAGGATGGAATTTGTTATACCCATCCCGAGAAACTTCCAGGTTTTTCATTTTTTTTTTCCGACTAATTTAAGGAATGATCATGGATTTAACAAAATTAGTGGACAATATGGTACTATTGCGGAGAGTTGTGATTATTTTTTCTGTGTCCATAATAGGAGTTAGTAGGGATGGATTGAGTAGGCATTTCTTCCACCGGCCGTCGAAAGCGTACACGACGGGGACGAGAAAGCGGAGGAAAATTCAAACGGAGTGCGACTTACAGGGTGGCGAAACGCGGTGGCACAAGACGGGGAAGACCCGGCCGGTGATGGCGAGTGGCAAGCAAAAGGGCTGCAAGAAAATCTTGGTTCTTTACACAAACTTCGGCAAGAATCGGAAGCCGGAAAAGACGAATTGGGTCATGCATCAATACCATTTGGGACAGCATGAGGAAGAGAAAGAAGGAGAATTGGTGGTGTCGAAGATATTTTATCAGACACAACCACGGCAGTGCAACTGGTCGGACAGAAGCCTTGCGGCGGCGGAGACGGGTTTTGAGGTTGTTGCAAGTGGGAGCAGCTGTTCTTCCATGGCTCAAGCCGACGAAATGTCTCCGGCTGGCGGTGGTGTTGGAGCTTCCATTTCTAGCTTCAGTTCGTTGGACATTCAACATCTCAAATCTGACCATTTTGGGTTTGGCCCATTTAGAACAACAAGCTTTGACGAGGTTATTTCTGACCATATTAGGCACATTTAATATTTACCCAAACAAAAAGATTTAAACTTCAGAGGTTAAAACATAAA